GCGGTTAGTTTTCTCGAAGAAGAAGGGCGATGTCTACGTTTAGCGCTAAATAATTGTATTTCATAAAGTTTTCTCAGAATCGAATCAAGAAGAAAAACTTATAGTGAATCGTTGAATTGACGTTTCCCTCACCAATTGGTATTTTGCTGTCTGTGTAAGGAACTGAACAGACCATCAGTTGAAACTTCTGTAAACTGGAAAACAAGTGACGGGAAACGATTGAGATGCATTAGTAGCCTCCATCAGGTGTTGACTTCATGTTTCTCTAAAGACATCGAAATTCTATCACTTGTAAAATGAGCAAACAGCCGTCTTATTTTTGGGAAAGATAGCTTTGTCAAATAAAGGGTGTGGGTGTGCTCGGAGTAAAGATCGACATCGACACCAACACCTACCCACAACCTAAAAAAATTTATTTTAGAATCCATACATCATTAAAAAGGTGCGTTAGTCGCCATTTCCAAAACCTATTCAACTACCCTAAGTAGTTGCTTAGTAGGATTTACAATAAAAGTGAACAAGTACTACTCAATCTTGTCTCGCTACCACTCATTAGTACTTATTCATTCTTTGGTATTTTTTCGTATGTCATACTTAACAATATCTGTTTCTTTCATCGTACATTTTGTAATTGTCATCTACCATCACTTTCTAGTTCATTGTGTTTTGTATTGCTTACTATACTTTAATAAAGATTGAGATTACAGTCCATTCTTTTGTCGCAAACCTATAAGTCAAAATGTTGAGAAAGCGGCAACTTTATACACTGAAATGTGTTTGTAAAAATTCGAAAAAATATAACGTTCTAACTATGTAAACATTGTTTGAATGCGTTGGATTTGTACTGTATCTGACTTGATGAAGGCGCAATCTCAAGGTTGGTTGAAATAGAGGACGAAATTGTCATTAATTAGGGTGTGGTTCACTCAAAAATCGGTAACAAGTTAGTTTGCACTCGAAAATATTCTCTGTAACTGTTTAGTCAAAATAAATAGTGATCTCAGTATTTAGTTCATATGTCGATCACCTTTTCTCAGTCCTATTTTATCTCTTTTCCAGAAGATCAAATCTTGTATTCTACACCAAACAGTGATACTTATTACTAACTATTATTTTTAGATCTCAGGAACGTAAAATAATCGAAAAGCAAAATAATATATATTTTTTTAAAATCTTCTGTGTTTTCGATTTTTCCGATGATTTTTTCAAAAAATATTATTTGCTCTTGAACTATTTTGACTTTTCCTATAACACGTTATACATTCGTTTTCGTTATGATTTCTTCGTGGATCATATTTGGGTTATTCTGTGAACCAAAATAAGTAGGAAATGTGTTATAGCGAAAGCCAAAGCAATTTAATAGTAACGAATATTTTATGAAAAAGAATGTTGCAAAAGTTGAAAAAGCGGTTGGTTTTAAAATTTGTTTGTAATTTTATTGTGTTTATCCTAATTTTTCTAAGATGATAGAAAAAGAATATGCTAAATACATCGCACTATACTATGTAAAATTTAACGGTAAATATTATACGAAAAAAAAAACTCAAGTATGACTGGCAACAGTTGATCGAAATATGAACAAAAAATTAACAAGTTCATTTAAGCTGATTCACTCACCCAAATCGGAACCTTAACGTACCTTTTATATCCATAAATAAACTCAAAATAGATCTAACATAGTCTAATCGACCCATTATTTCACGCAAAATACAAATATTCTACTGATTCGGTTGAAGGAAGTTGTAACTACTAAAATGGGCGTATTGCAAAGAAGTGTTCCAATCATACGAATTTTCCGTGAATCCTGTTCAGTTCCGACTAATCTCCAGTGTTTTAGTTTTGTCTGGCGCAGTGAGATGGTTAAGAGGTTATTGTGGTCTAAACTCGTTTGAAGTAAACGAATGGAAAATTTTTCAACTACACCAGTGCAACGTACGAGAGTGGAAAGTAAAATGTAGGGAGAATGATATCAGATGAATAGACTCTACAGTTGCTAATCCCGTAAAAAAATAGCGTAGAGATATTAAACAATACCAACCCAGTTGAAAAAAAAACACCTGCTACTCGCTTAAAATGCATTAGTGAAATATTCATATTGACATAATATGTCATCGAGCGCAGTTTTTTGCCTGCCATCTTTCTTGATTATTGATAAGAACACGAGGGTAGAAATGGCGTAAATTTTGGGATTTTTTTTTCAGGTAAGATGAATCAATACACAGTATTCTCTTTCTTCTTCACATCACGACATTTAGTTTTACTACAAGCGACAAAAGCATGTTGTCGTCATCATAGTGATGTGTCTTGAGCGACAGTAAACGTCCATATCGAACGCTGTGGATTTGCCATTAACAGTATTTCTCCCGAGTTCATTTAAAAGGACGCAATGATTCAATGTAATGCCCGACTCTCGCCATTAACTGACCGAATCAATGCATTTACAGTAAATTCATAAACGGTTCTTGGTAAAAATTATATTGTCTCGCTAGTCGAAATCAATGACATTATAATACTCACAGAACAGTAGATTGATTCTATTGAAGACAACATCGATAAATTCAAGAATTTATTCTCGAGAAAAAAGACAAACAGAGAACACAATGATAAACCACAATGTTAGCAAAAGCTAAACCAATAAAAACGTTTTCAGCATCATTTTACAAGATTAAAATTTGAAACACAATGAGACGACTCTATTGTATAACCAAAGCTCTAGGCAAACCAAGTACTGTTGATATCGACCAAATAGACAAGCATAATGAAACTTCTGTCACAATCTATGAGACTAGAACGTCTGTCTGTCATGATCTATTTATGGGATTGAAGATTCAACTTATTTGCTATATACGTCAACACGCATGACCCATCGAATACTGCAAGCATTCAAATGAATAAATAGTTCTAAAAAAATTTTAAAAATAAATCGACAGTGTATTATGGGGATGAATGTGTTCAAAAGAAAAATTGAATTAACAATCAAATCAAATTTCAAGATGTTTCTTTGATGAAGTTGGAAATCATCGCTTTAAATGATAATGAAACGTTTATATTCCTAATACAAGTAATTTACGACTTATTTGCAAATCTGATTTATCATTCGTTAGAGAATATGTTTCAGCAACATCCATTTATCAAGACAAAAAAAAATCGAGAAATTTCATTGGTTATATGAATAATGCATTATTGTCGTTCAAATGTTTAAAATGAATGTTGGTAAAAGAGATTTTCTAACAAGAAATTCAATTTGCAATAATCCACAAATTACTTGTAACTGGAATATAAATACTCCATTACCACGTAAAACATAATCGACAATTTTAAGACAGTTAGTTTGCAAAAAGTATTTTCACTGAAATTCACATTGATTTTACGTATGAATATTTCATACTAAAGTGTATTCGTTCAAGAACGCATGACTCAAGAAAAAAAACTTAACACAAAAATTAGAACAAAGTCATTTAGAATTAAAAAGATATTTATTATTATTTAAATATTGATGTAAAATAAAAAGTGTAACTAATAGTGATTATGAAAAGCAATTAAAGTTTACATAATAGCTATTGAAATTCATCCAAATATGATATTATATTCTAATCGAATCGTTGATTATCTTCATCACGAATAATACATCTATCTATTAGTAAATGCTAAGAAAGCATTGCAATATTATTTTTTATATTAAGTCATGTTATCAACGAACATCTGCTTATATAGCATTCGGCAAATATATTTCAGCATTGTATGATGATGAACCCGTCTATTGAATTATTTTGTTTTTGAAAATTTTATTCTTGCTCTGAACTAAAAATGTTATACTTATTTGTTTTCAGATTACTAAATTTTTTTTTGGATCATTGATTTAAATTAAAAGATAAAGAACAAAAACTAGAGTTAATAGTTTATGTCAAGTAAAAATTATAAATATATGTGTATCAGAAAACTAAAAATTTATATATTTTTTAGTTATTGATTATTCCATTATAAAATATATACGGTGTGCTGGAAAAATGTCGAAAGGAAAAATGTCGAAAAAAGAAAAAACGAAGAAAAAACATCGAAAGGAAAAATATCGAAAGGAAAAATACCGAAAGGAAAAATATCGAAAGGAAAAATGTCGAAAGGAAAAATGTCGAAACGTACATATTAAAGCGAAAAAAATGTCGAAAGTGAAAAATAAAAAAATAATGATGTCTCCAGTATATGGCGATTCTAATCCCATTTAGCTCATTGTTTTTTCTTATAATTTTACTAGTGTAGAATTTTAGCCAGTATTGATAGGGATGACTAACTATTAATACAACAAGTNCCTTTGTTAAGTATATTGTTTTTTCTCCTATCTGTCAAAAAGTAAAGCTTTTTTTGTTGAGATCAATAGTGATACTTAACAAAGGGTCTCTCTGGGCATGTCTTTATGGATATGAAGTTTGAACACGTCTCTATTATTGGTAAAAAAATCAGCCCGTTTGCTCGAGCCGTAATGGAGATATTCAATTTTTATTTTGGTAAACTGACTTTTGGGCCACCCTGTATATGGCCCAAAAGTCACGATACCAACAAAAAATTAAATATTTCCGCTACGGCTCGAGCAAACGGGCTGATTTTTTTACCAATAATAGAAGCATGTTCACACTTTAAATCCATACGGAGAAGATTAGAGAGAGCTTTTATAAAGTACCACTAATAATCCCAACAAAATAATTGTATTTTTTCATAGATAGAATAGAAAACAATATACTTAACAAAGGATCTCTCTAGGCATGCCTTTACGAATATAAAGCTTGAACATGCCTCTATCATTGATAAAAGAATTAGCTCGTTTGTTCAAGCCGTAATGGGGATATTCAATTTTTTCTCGGTAAAGTGACTTATGCGCCACTCTGTATTTAAATGCATTACAAGACGCACATTTTAATGCCTCATATGAAAAGCATTTTTTGTGACCGTTTTACATCATTATAATAATTACAATTTGTAGGCATTTTAATGCCATTTTACCATTTTTATCTCTGTCTGGGTAGTTCTTTAGCACATTCAGCTAATGAACCGACAACGTTTACTAAAACTTCTTCTGGCTGATTAAGGAAATGAACAAGTGCTTCAATTGTTCGAAATTTTTCTGTATTCTAATATAAAATCAGATCGAAAAAACAAATATAAAACATGAGAAAAAATTTACTTCACGAGAAATTGAACATTTCCAAATAGCACCCATTGCTGCAGCAACTAAAGCTTTATTATCCGATTTTTGTAACAGATCATGTAAAGGACAAAGACTCATATATTTTCTAACAAAATCACGGATTTCTTTATCTTTTGCACACTAAATAAACAGAAACGAAAATTTTTCTTTTACTTGGGATGCGGATATTAGTATTAGAAGAACGATTCACATACCCACACCCAGCCGAGCCTTACATCCTAAATTCACATCTCTTATGCCGAAAATACATTTCGAACTTTCTATCGCCGCATGCCGAAAAGAAGACGTACACCCTGATGAATATTAGATAATAAAATATACAGAAATAATTTATTATTATCATGATTATATGAGAAGTTAGTCGATTGTATAGAATATCAATTAACTTTTTTTTGTACGTCCTTTCCAATTCTTAGAACACCTTGTATCTATTTAAATCATTATTATTTACATTGGAAATTTTTTTTTTCTCCATAATACAACTATAAACGACATCTCGATTGTCGCGCTAGTAAATTTTTTATGATTCATTAACAAAAACTGACTGGTTACACATTCCTATTGTGTTCTTCCAGCATCAATGTGGGTTTTTTTTCTCCGTTCTTCTGCCATATACACGTGTTTAGCTTATTTACGTTTAGCTGAAATTTCAACATGAGAGAAATGCTTCATGAAAACAATCGATACGTGCAACTAAATGAGTTTTTGGCTTGTTCCTTATTAATTTCGAATAATTATCATTTGCAAAAATGAAATATCTTTTCAATTTTTGAATACAAAAATAATCTTTGGGAAAAAATATGACATTCATTAGATATACATGATTATCATGTATATTTATTTCAAAAAATAGATAAGAAAATTTTTATTTGTTTTTAGATTAATTTCATTTATTCAATCAGCAGGATAATTATTCATGGTGGATTTGATGTTATTATAAAAGATAATTATTTACGAAAAAGAAAATTTAATTTCAAAAACAAAAAAGAAATTTTTTTTTTGTTCATAATGACAGAACGATATCAAATTCATCAGACATGCTTTCAAAATAATGATATGCCCATTCATAAATGTATGTTTATATGAATTAAATATTTTTACGTTGTAATTAATTCTTTTTAGTTATTCCAATGGAAAAATTAGATTTAATCCAATCGAATCAAGTTCGAATTCTTTATTATCAAAATCCAAGTCGATTTTATGTTTATCTTCGACAAAAGATTAATACTCATGCACAAGTAAAAGAAATATGTCTGATTAGATGATTCCTTCAAAATTGAAAAACCAAAATGTATCAACTTGTAAAGCAAGTCGAGATGCATTCAAATGTTACATATATTAAATCTTATTCTCACAAAAATTTAACCCTTTGACGACAGAAAATGTATATCTATATATATTTTGAGCTTTTGTAAAGATTTTAACTTGTATGATCATCTATCTTTATACTATTCAAAGGAGAAACAAAAGAATTTTGGCATTCCGGAAGTATTAGAGAATCAATGGAATCTCTACATTCAAAGTCTTTTACAGTTTTATAGAACTTTTTACTGACTATAAGTTCATTTACTTGTCATCTCTGATGATTCTAATTTCGACAGGAAATAATTCTATTTTTTACTGATTTACCAACGTTTTTTGCACTTATGATGAGTCTTCGTATTTTCAGATAATTATCTGTGGTATAGTATAATAAAACATATTATTTGGAAGTTTTCCGAGATGAGTGCATCGTGTCCACAATAAATTTTCATTGCGAAATGCTAATTTTCTTCGTTTAATACTGTATTTCGACATTTTTCACTATGAAAACTTGATTTCAAATGCGAAATAAACATTGTATTTGAAATTAGCATAACAAATTGTATTGAATAGCTTATATTTTAACTAAATAGACTATGTTGAACATCATACACTTATCTTGTAGAACTTGTAAATAGTATGCTTTGTAGTGCTATATCATAGGTTATTTCTGAAGAAGTTTAACATCTGATTACAGCTCCTATTGTCGACACCATTGAAAACATGAACACTCACCATCAGGAAAAACCCGGTAGGCGGTCATTAAAAAATAATACAAACAATTTTGACTATGATCAAAGAGTACAGTGATCATGCTTTGAGTGCATAATCATCTATAGTCATATGAAAATAAGATTTAATATATATACCATTCGATGCTCCTCAATTTTCTCTACAACCTGTTATAATTGATCTCTTAATTCTAAATAGACGATCTTATCCGATAGAGTTGTTTTTGCATAAAATAAATTTTGTTTAAAAGTTAACAATTAAAAATATGGTTCTTTTAGTTTCAAGTTGAATTACAACGTGCTATGCAAAATTATCAATCAACAACGGTATCTCCACAATATGTTCGTTATCAACCTGTTGTTGCACAAGATAATCATGCAATATGGCATCGTGCTACTATATTAAGTATATTTTGTTTTGTTTTTCTTTTATCAAATTTTTTATTCATTTTGTTTTGTAAAGATTTTAATTCTAATGAAACTGAGATTTGCGTTTATTTTGTTGATGTTGGTCAACAAGAAAATATTTCTATAACAAATATTCGTCCATTACCACAACAATTTATTCATCAACCAGCATTTGCAATACCATGTCGTTTATATCAAATATGTCCACTTAATGGTAATGAACAATCAATATGGAAATCAGATGATCCTGTACATGAGGAATTTAATCGACTTATGGCTAATAGTGCTAGTTGTAAAGTTTGTGATCTTAAAGAAAAAATATGTTATGATGTCGAAATTGATATTCCTAGTAAGTATTATTTAAAAATAAATAATTCATTATGTATTTATTATATCTTATATTCTGATACGAAATAATTGACATTTGTTTGTAGTTTATTTTTTATGAAATTTACATAGAAACTTCTAGACAAAAGTCTTTCCTCTTTCAGAGATCTTACGAGAGAAGTTCGTCAATTGATGAATCACTTTTGAGTCGAGATCATATACATCATGCAAACCCTAATAAGTTGTAAATACCCGGGAAAGAGTTCTAGTCTTTAGCTTATTCTGACGAGAGTGGTGTTTTTACAGATAGATTTTAAGTCAATGTTGTGTTCCTCATCTTCAGAAACATCAGAAAAACTGATTATCTAATTTCGGCTTGAAACTTTGTACACAAATAGGAATAGTTTATGGTGAAAGTTTTAAATTTTTTCATTCTTCTTATCCTAAGATATAGCTATAGTATAAAAGCTTGCCTGGTACATTGCTTATTTATACCCACAATAAAACTATCATACAAATGAAGTGTCTCTACCATAATATACTAAGGATTGGAACACTTTTCAGAGTGTTTATTGCTTGTTAGGATCTGAATGATGCGCATAGGCTTGACTTAGAAGCAATTAATCAGTTGGAGGAGTTTCTTTTGTGAGTTATAATAAATGATGTCTATTTTTGCTTTGAGCTTCATAACTTTTGTAGACGAGAATGTTGTGAGTTGACAGACCTATCATTACATAGCACTCTGTTTCAATTATCTGTTATATAAATTTTGATGGAGATTCATCAACATGGTCTAGAATTGTAGTTATTTACGCTAATCATTAGTATATAAAAATTCATATGTGACCTTGTCAATTATTGTGAAGCTTTTAGAGAAACATTCTCTATATGGTGCCATTGTTTTCAGCAAGTTTCAAAATCAAATGTTGTAATAGAAGGAAATGACATACAATTAATCATGTTGTTAGTGTTGAGCACTCAGAGACAACGATATTCAAGCAAATGAAGTTATATTTTGTATGAAGAAAGAGCGTAGACTGGACTAATATTCCGTGTGAAAGCGTTCACAATTGATCATATATATGATAAAAAAAAAAAACAAGATAAACTTGTGTAGATAGCGTTTTAAGGTTATGAATCTCCCAGCAACAAATAGATTTCATTGATTATAACTCGTTTTCTGCTCAAATAAGCAAAATCTGGATGGTACCGATGATCTACATGTCTAATGGAGCATATGTACACACACATTTTTAGACGTCTAGTCATTATGATGGCTGAGAAGATGTTAATTACTATGTTTCCCTTTCGCTGAATGGAATTGAAAACAAAACTTAGACTGTTCTAGAACAGTCAAAAATTTTTCTTGAATAATAAATATCAATGTTTCTCACTTTATTAAAATGCATAATAACGTCTTGAGATCTGTTATGGATGTATGAAAAAAAGGCTTATTTGTCGGTTAAATCAATGGTTAAAATAATAACAATGTTGAATTAAGAAAAACAGAATACAAAAAAAGAAATAGGACGCCAGTAAAAGTCTATTGGATATACAGAAATAAATAAGAGAGATCATTTCTCATTATTATTGGTTATCCTTGAAAAATATCTATAGTCTATTAAAGATTTTTCACTCTATATAATATATATTAGTTTAATAAGGCAAAATAACAAGTGTAAGTTTCATATTTTAGCCCTAAAGGAGCTTTGGTGGTAAGTTTTTGTTTTTAAACTAAAATTGTACAATTGTTAATTAAATGTAGTCAGATACAGGCATGTTTGCATTATGAAATGTTTCATTCAATTGAGATTTCTCTGTATGTAACTTGTCTAGAGAGATATTCGAAAATGAAACAAAATATTAGAATTAAATGTTCTGTTGTTTTGAGGGAGAGATAACAAAACGGTCTATTTAAGACAGTTTATAGATTTATTACGAATAAATTTTGAAAAATATTTCCTCTAGATCGAAATCAACACTAAAGAAAAACTTTCGTTCCGCATATTTCTAGTCAAATTATGAGTTTTAAAACAATACAGAATAAATAAATGAACGAACAATGTATACGGTCTGAAATTTAATTCAACATTGACTTAAATTGCCATTCAAAGAAAACTAAATCTAATAGATCCTCTAGTAAAACAATACTCAAAAACATATTTTTAGTAATACCCCTAGATGTAATAGTTTTCGATGTATCAAATAGTTATGTGAACAATATTTTGTTTGTTTAATATACAAAGACTTGTATACAGTTATGAACTCAATTGGAGAATATCAGGAATTATGAAAATATAAATTGTGATGTTTAGCGTCATCTATTATCTTAATTGGACGCTTCACTGATTTGTTTTCTTATCTCTTATATATACGTGATAAAACACTGGGTAAAAATATCCAATATAGACATTTAATTCTTCTTTCGATATATCTATTTACAGTATTTAATCTATTTCTTTCTTTGGAAAGAAAAAAAAAAGAATTATTTATCCATGTGTCTTTTCATAGAAACATTAGAAAGAAAAATAAATTCTACAATATATTTTCTCTTTTCAGACGTGGGAGATCTTGGCACATATCTTTTTGGTAAAGATCTTGTTTCTCGAATAATAATGCGACCATCTCAATCAACAAATTATAATACAAATCAAACGCAACAATCAACGTTTGATCGAATACCGCCTGGTTTTCCAGCTATACCTTCGTCAACACGACAACAATCGCCAAGGTTAACACTACAAAATGAAGCTTCTAATAATCCAAATAATACTGTTCAACAATCACTAAATCGTTTATTACAAAAACCGATTGTTCAACAATCTCCTATTGTACCGTAAGTGTAACTTATTTATTCTGTCGAGTTTAACAGTCTTTTCGAAATTAGAGAAGTTATGCGATATTAAAATTTGCCATTTTATACATAGAGATCGAATTAAGAAATGTTGTCATTTCATTTTTTTTCATCATGATTATTACAATCCGTTGGGTTGATCTCGAACTCGACTGGATCAGGGTCTAGATAATTGGGTTCTTCTACACGATGTGCACACCCACACCCCACATATACACACACATGCACAGCGCACAGTGTGCGCGAGGGCGAGGGTGTGTATATCGTGTAGAAGCACCGATAATTGCCATTAACCGGATCCGAGTCTGAATACTATGGCTTGTCTAGAAGAAGAGAATATATAGTGCAAAGAGGAGTACGGACGCAAGTAGCAATTTGACTGAAATTTCGACATTTTATTATAATATTCCTGTAGGATTCACTTTTTGCTCTAGAAGCAAAGTTTCATTAAAACAACAGTAATTATTCATGAATAAACCATGTGTTTGAATCCTTTTAAACTTTTCATAATCTTACAGGGACCTATTTGTAGTCATACTATGAAGTTATATGGTGTTCAATAGTAGGATGTGTTCTCTTGTAAGTCTTGCATGCTCTCGAAAGAATCGTCCCAAGTGATTCAAAGCTTCGATGTTGATACTTTGTCGATAACTAGAGTCTAATGAAACTAGAAAAAGTTAAAGATCCATAGACCATTGTTCTGCAGGTATGATAAGTGTTGACTTAATTTACCAAAGGATCACATTACAGAATGTACTGTACCATTTTTCGAATAACATTTGATACGAACATTAACTGACCAATCAGATTAGTTTTCTGCCAAGATATTCGGAAAGCATTTTCCATTGGATTTACACTTGGAATATGTATGACCAGTCGATAGGAAAAGTTCTTCTCTTTCCATCGACATAAACTGTAACTTTCTAGTACGCTCAATTCAAGAGTTACAAAGGTTTTCTCGAAATCCGAAGACAAATAAATCATCATAGTGAGTTGAATACTGATGTTTACATTCATTTGCAATGCGACCTGAGATCGCTTTTTACCGCTAACAACAAACATCACGATTCGATTCTGGATGATAAATTAGCCCTGTCTTGAGCTCTTTTCTAGTCGTCTCTCAAAGTCAATTTTCTAAAATCACGAGTCTCGGAAAAACTCTTGAAGGTGATATGCTGGAAAGTTGAGGCTTGCATAGATCGAAAACGAAGGAAATTTTCCTATCAATTAGTTATATATATTCTAAGTGAAAATTCAATGGGAAAGAACTCACCTAATTGGTCACTTGTTGACCAATCAGATTTTGATATGCATAGATAGTCTCGCATCTTCTCTCGTCAATGGTAAAAATCACAAGTCTCTATGATGTTCCTATCTAAAGTTATTCAATAAAAAAATGGTCAGACAGATAGCTTATTAAAAATGAAGATAAACACATGATTAAATGCGCTTGAACTAGTGGCGGAGCCAGGGGTGGGCTGGGGAGGGGGGCTCAGCCCCCCCCCCCCCAGGAAAATTTTAAAACCATGTAGTTTATTCGAAAACCGGGGCTCAGAGGTGCCTTAGAAGACGCTGAGCCTCCCAGCTCAAAATCCTGGCTCCGCCACTAGCTTGAACTTTCTATACTGAATAATATATTAATGAATAGAAATTAATAATTTAACTAATTTTCAGAACAACGACTGATTCATCATCATTGTCATCCGAAATTCAAACTCTTATACCTCGTATGTATAAAAAAAAGAGAAAATTTAATTATTAGAAATCTTAAAACATTTCTATTTTCTTTCAGAGGATGGACATTATATAATAACTCATGTTTATAGTGCTATTGAATTTTATGGTCATTCTCAAGGTCGTGAAAAAGAATTAGATGCATTCTGTAAACATCTTGAAGATGTTTATAATAATAATACGAATGATCAATCATTAAGTGTACATTTTTTAATGGATGGTATACCATGTGTTATTCAACAAGGTGTTAAATATCATCGTGTTGTAATTAAGTAAAATATACTTAAAGAAAACTTTTCATATATTTATATGCATTGTTTGTTTGTTTGTTTTTTTCTTCTTTATTTATTTAGACATCGTGAAAGTGAATCACGAGTATTAGTTAAACTTATTGATCGTGGTGATGAAATTATTGTTGATACATCAGAATTATTGAAACTTGAAAAAAAATATTATACAATACCAGCATTTGCACAACCATTTCGTTTATATAATTATGATGAATCAGTAAGAGGTTTTTTTTTTCTTGTTTTTATTAATAAACAAATAAATAATGAATTATTTTCTTCTAGCATAGTACAGCTAATATAACACGTAAATTAAAAAGATTAATTCTTAATCAACGTGTTCATATAACACAACATTTACCAATGATAAATGGATTTTATCCAGTTGAAGTTAAATTATCTGATGAACAATTAGTTAATCAAATTCTTCTTTCTAATGATAATAATCCAATAGTATGTATCTTGATTACAAAAAATTAAATTATTCTTTTTTTTTCTTTCTTATTCAGATTTCACCACCGATGAGATCATCAGAGTAAAAATATTATTTGTAAAAATATATCGTAAAATTTCATTTTTCATTTAGATTACAACCGTTAAAAATTCAACAAGACTTGAATGCACAACGAATCAATGATGATTTACCAGCACCACAAAAATTATTAACAGCATCTGGACGTACACAACCAGGTCGTTTTACGGCAAAGTCTCCTGTTGCAAATGAACCAACATCACGTTTTACACGATCAGAACAACAAGATGAATCACGATTATTTGGACAACAAACACAGACATTTACATCGAAAACAGCAAATGGATTTCAACAATCAACAAATGAACAAAATCGTTCAACTAGTATGAACATATAAAATTGTTTAACTTAAAAATCTATGGAGGATAGAAATTTTCATCCTACCACATATCATAATAGACATATAGAGATCTGCGAGTTCATGTTTTTGTGGTTCCGAATTCGACAGAAGCTAAATTTTTCGATCCGCTTCCAGAATCTATTCTCGGTAAATTTGTCTTGATAGTCGGTTCGAAGACACAAGCACTTTAGCACTCCACAGTAGACATTTTTCATAGATCAAGCGGACAAATTTTTTTACTAAAAAATCACTGTTAGAGACCCTCAGCCTATATAAATATATGTGGAAAGTGTTTTGTTTTTTATAAGAGTAACAATTATACATCATTCGATGCTGATTCCAAGTACGTAGTTAGTCTTCAATAGAAGTTATATCTTGAAAGCTAATAGCTCAATTCTGGAATGTTCTAATGCTATATAAGTGTTAAAGATGGAAGAGTATTTTTAAGAAACTTCACTCAATTTGTAACAGCGGGTAATTATGCAAGTTCATTTATACTGAACACAAGTTATTCGTAAAAACACTCGAAGTTAAAGAAGAATAGCTTTGTTTTTTCGAATCTAAAACAAATAAAAGCGAATCTATAGAATGAAAAACACAGTTTTAGATAATATGTTATCTTCTCAGGAATGTTTTCTTCTTATAGTTTTGTATTCATAGTAACAGAAGACTCCTAATCCTTGATGGGGCGGCGCATCTCTAACTAATACTAACAAGTAGAACAACGACATATATGTCATCAAAATGATCCATATGTCAATGCATATGTTGCTCTGTTAAGACATTCAAAAGCATACTTTCAATTTTTCATCTAATCTTCGCTTGGATGACCACAATACGCCGTTCCCACAGAGAAATATCGTTCTTCTGCACTCTCTGAAGTACAACGGAAGAACAGTTTAATATCATAGAAAAAGCTAGACCTAAATTCAAAACTATAAGGAGGTAGTGCATGAACCATTAAATAAAAGAATGATGAAGAAAGGATACTACAAGGAAATATTTCGATGGTTTTTGACTATAGAAAGAAATATCTGTAGTCAACAGATTATAGTCACCTATATTCCACAATAGATGGAATAAAATAATCTCTCTATGATTAGTAAGAGCAGCATCATCGTATTTTGTATTTTAATCTCACAAGAATTGCTCTAACAGCTTTTGTTTTAATTTAGGTCGTGGATTTTCTAGTGATGAACAACAAACGAATAATCAACGAAATGGATTTGGAAATAATCGTGGAGGTGGTTTTGCTGATCGAGGAGGTAAATTCAATACAATTTCAAACCATGAAATAGTAAATAGTTCTTTCCAATAGGTCGTAATGGTTTTGCGGATCGAAATTTTGAGAATAAGAATGAAAATGGTATGCAACGAACTGGCGGATTTAATAGTAAGGAAAAAATTAGAATAACTTTCTTTTATTATATTTTTAATTTTTTTTTTTGAAGACCGTGCTGGTGGTTTTGGTGATCGAGGTTGTAAGTATTTAGTTATATTATTTACTTTTAATATATATTTTTAATTAGCTCGCAATGAAGGTTTTCAAGATCATTATAATGAAAATCGAAATAATCAAGATGAAGATAATAATGAAAATAATAATACACAACGATTTGCTAGTAAATTTTTTTTTTCTTATTGAAGTTTTAGATAACTAAATTATATGAATTTATAGATCGTCGTGGATTTAGTGAAGATCGAGGAAATCGAAGTGGTGGATTTAGTGGAGAACGAGGAAATCGAGGTGGTGGATTCGGTGGAGAACGAGGCAATCGAAGTGGTGGATTTCAAACTTATCATGACAAAGATAATAGTGGAGATAATGAACGAAGAGGTGGTCGTGGTGGTCAAAGAGGAGGTAAATCATTTCTTCAAAACATAGTTAATAAGAATTGCATATTTGAACAAATGAGTTTTGTAGAAGAAAGAAAAGCACTTTTAACCATGATATTCAATATGAAGAATATGTTTGAATGTGCCTATATCTCCGACGAGTCATATCGACTTCCAGCTATTGATAAAAAATTCTTCGAAACTTTTCAGATTTTTTTTTGCAAGTATGATTAAGAGAGAAGACCTGCGGAATTTCAGAAATGTTGAGATAACAATGCCAGATCAATTCAAACCTAAATAATAAATATCATCATTCGACTCAGCATGAAGTGGGTGTTTAACAACAAAAAAGAGTACGCCTGTTGTTATACCATGATGTGGCGTCTATGTATTTATATAGAATGAAAGGGAAGAAATAAGCTCTATTCATTTTTATCATAACGAAACACAAACTACAATTTTATCAAGTATCATTTTGATATGATGTGTATTTATCCAGAATTTCGAGTACTTTGCTCAGCTCTGAATCGAGATCTTAAGAAAAATCATATAAATAGATATGGGTAACAAGGTCCCAGAAACAAAAACGGTTGGTCTCGCTCATCACTACATATAATTCTCGAATGGAAGTACATAACAATGTCGGTATTGCGTAGGTCATAAGAGAAGAGTTTTTTTTCTAACGATTGATTCTATTGAAAGGGGAATAACTTAAGAATATCATTTTCGAAAATCACCTGGTTAAACAATGGCTGACTAATTAAATTTCGATATGCTTGAATGACTTTAGGTGTTCTCTGTTGAATGATAAAAATCACAGGTTTCTAGCTTTTTGTTTTATTTTTGAGTTATCGCAAAAATATCTTTGTATAGACATTAGTATATTTCTAATTTCTTTCTAACTATACTCATATAGAAAAAATTATAATACAGTGATTGATACTTTTGATAATATGCCTTAGTTGATTATATTTCGCATTTGAAATCGTTTTTTAAATATAGGTCGAGGTGGTTTTAATGATCGTGGCGGTCGAGGTGGTTTTGGAGATCGTAATGATCGAGGTGGATTTGGAGATCGTGGTGGTCGAGGTGGTTTTGGAGATCGTAGTGGTCGTGGTGGTTTTGGAGACCGTGGTGGTCGAGGTGGAGGTCGTGGTGGACGTACCGGTGGTTTTGAAGATCGTAGTGATAATGATTTTCGATCCAATTCAGATAATAATGATTCAATGAAAACGTTTAGTGGTTGGCCAAATGTTAAAACTCCAGTAAAAACTTTCGAAGCCGGTGATCATTTTATTGAAAATGAAATTCCTCAAGAAACATTTCAATTTGTTATTAGTCATATTGAAACATCGAATGATTTTTTTATTCAATTATATTCAAAAGCAGATGAATTATCAACACTTACTGATACATTACAAAATGAATATACAAATGCACCTGAATTAAATTTAAATTCAATTGAAATTAATCAAGTTTGTTTAGCTAAAAGTTCTGATCAATGTTGGTATCGTGCTATTATTCTTTCAAATAATATAACTAAAATAAATGTTCGTTTTATTGATTTTGGTGATACAATTGATATTGATAAAAAATCTATACGACAATTAGAAAAAAAATTTTCTTTAACACCTCCTTATGCTTATCGATGTATGTTAGAAAATATTGAAGGTAAAAATAAAAATACAAAATATTTTATTTATTTTTTTTGTAATTCTTAATTTCTATTATTTATAGTTAATGAAAATTTTGATAGAAATAAAATAATTGAAAAATGTGCTGAACAAATATTTAATGGTAAAATTGAAAAAAAATTATCCAATAATAAATATCTTCTACAATCAGATAATTTTCAAAAATTAATGATTGATATTAATGCAATTAAATTAAAATCTAAAACAAATATTAAATGTCATATTATTTATATTAATCTTGATAAATATGAATTTTATATACAAGATGATAATGAAACAATGACAAAAATTAATAATAAAATAACAACAACAACAACAGATGAAATTTCATTAGATAATATTCAAATTAATTCAATGGTTATTTCATTATATGATAATAAACCTTGTCGAGCTATAATTCAAGCTGATTTAAATGAAAATGTTCGTCTTTATTTTGTTGATTATGGTTATACAAATATTTGTTCAAAAACATCATTAAAACAATGTAATGAACAATTAAAAACATATTCATATCAAGCTAAACGATGTCAATTATATGATATTTCATCAAATATGTTAGATGAAGCATTTAAAAAACTAAATGAATATATTAAAATAGATAACATAGAAATTTCTATTGTTAATCAAGATGATGATCTATATCATGTTATTATTTATATTGATAATGAATGTTTTAATGAAAAATTTTCAAAACAATCAAATATAATTGATCAACATGAAACAACTAGTGATATTAATGATCAATCAAGTACAACAACAGCAACAACTGTTAAAGAACAAGAAAGACCAATGAGTATAACAGGAAAAAGAAATAGTGAAGAAATATCATCACCAAGTGGAAATTCATTAAATGCATCAATGAATATTAAAAGACAAAAGAGTGAATCAGATACAGAAGGTATGTATTAAATCAAATTTAATTTTGTTATTCTATTACATTGTACATGTTTATCCTTTGAAAATTTTATAATAACTCTAGAAGTGCAAGTTCCAGTTTACTGACCATTGATAGAGATGTATAGGATAAACTTTTTTCATATCCTTTACTTTAATTATGGAAAGAATCTCTCTTCATATTTCAATGTAATGTTCTAATAAAATCTTTCAGTTATACTTAAGGCCCCGCCCCGCTCAAAAAATGTCAAATTTCGTCAGAATCATCGAAATTGAGAAAAATGCATAGGGAGATAGTCCGTGATCTGCTCTTTCATATACAATAAAAATTTTTATTCAGCATCTCTTCTTTTCCAAAAGTTTTGCAAGATTTTCGTCACCCTCTATTCGAAAAACAGGCCGTTTTTACAAAAAACCGAAAATCGTTTTTCATTTTTGTCAGAAGGTAGGTTCGACGACGTAGCGCCACCGCCATTCGACCACTGTTCAATATAAAGTCATATATTTTTTTTTTGTTTGAAAGCTCGTGTTTAGGGCTAGCCCCTCTCGTGGCCCGATTTTTAAAATAAGCTTTTTATTATTATATAAGAACACATCTTCATAGAAAAAGCGCCATTTTTTCGGGGTTTTTTGAGTCATTGAACTTGTCACTCCTTTTCTTCGCTTAAAAAGTAAGAATTTAGAAGAAAGGGCCACGAGAGAGGCTAGCCCTAGAGACAAGCTTTCAAACAAAAAAAAATATATATATATATAATGAGAGTCCACAGAGAAATTTTGGCGCTGAAATGAGCAATTTTTGACCCGTGTTTGGTTCATATCTCTGTTAAACGTCAAGGTATCGAGCTGAAAATTTTACCACAGCATCCTCACTTCAGCCCCAACATATGCTCCAAATTTCAGCCCATTTGAACGTACCTGGGCTGAGATCGATTTTTGAGGAGGGTGGCGCCCTTAATTGAATTCGATTTTTGCAGAAAACCAAAGAATTGTTTCCTCTTCTTTTTATTAAAAATTTTAATTGATGCTTTGCCGTATTTTGTAATTTGAATGCAGTTTGATGAAGGAAGGTTATGGAGAGGTCGAAAACATCTCATCATTTATTCTGTCAAATAAAATATTTTATCAGAAGCTTAACATGTAAGTAAGAAAGCTGGTTTTTTTTCATAAATCTGCGCCTATGCAATTTTGTTAGAGCTATTAGACATACCAATTCTGATAGAAAATCGTTTCAGTTACACATAAAATTCTTGTTAGCTATTATTTTAATTTTATTTTCAGTAAATTTAGTAAAATATTATCAAGGTATTCTTACATATCTCGATGAAAATAAACCATTAGTTCATATTCAATTATTACCCGAATCTGAAACAATGTTAGAACAAATAAATGAATTAATCGATGGTATTATTCAAGAGAATAAACAAAATTCTTCATATGAAATAGGTGATTATGTTATTGCTCAATTTACTGATGATATGAATTATTATCGTGCTCGTATTGAATCTTATTCAGATTTAACACAAAATTATACAGTCTATTTTCTTGATTATGGAAATCTTGATAAAAATGTTCCAAAAAATCATTTATATTCATATTCAAATGAATTAAAACAAATTGAAGGTCAAGCTCATGGATATTTATTAGAACGTCTTACAAATCAAATATGGATTAATAAAGTTCGAAAATTAATTGAAAATAAATTAAATGATGATATTGAATTTTATTTTATTGATGAAATCAAATCAATAATACATATTAATTTTGATAATGAAAATCAAATATATAATAATCATGAAAATAATCAACCAAAAACATTTACAGCAAATATATCAGGTATAAATAATGATTATTTTTATATTCATATATTACCTGCAACGGATACACTTATATGTGAAATGGATGAATTATTACAAACACATATTAAAGAACATAATACATTAAAATCATGGTCAATTAATGATTTATGTATTGTTTATAATAATGAATTAAATCAATATTTTCGTGGAAAAATTCTTTCAATTAATAATGATAAATATGATATTCAATGTATTGATTATGGTAATATAATAACTAATATAACAGATGATAATCTTTATTTATTAACAAATAATGATTTATTAAAACAATTACCATTAGCACGACAATGTCGTTTATATGGTGTTAATAATAAAAATCAAATAAAAGCAATTGAAGAAGTTATTAAAAATATACATCCAACAGAATGTGTTACAATAACTGTTGATAATGATCAAAATAATCAATGTATGGATGTTATGTTATTTAGAGAAAATCATGAAATTGTTAATGATCGATATCAACTTGATGATGATGATGATGATGATAATAAAGTAAGATTTTTGATTAATATACAATGTATTTCAAAAGTTTGGTTTTTTTTCGTATATCTTTACTGGTCAATTCAACTATCGGACACCGTTCGACTTCATTTTATGGCGTTAAATCGATCTCAGTGAGATTAACAAGGGAAACATATTGACTGTCTAATTGGACTATAGGCAATCTACCATGTTGATTGTGAATATCAATACGAGAACAATAGCCAATACTTTAGAGACTCACTTCTGGACAATCAGTTTTTCCTAGTCAGAAAACGTGTGCATCTGTCCAGATTGTAGAGCATATTGATTAGACTATAGAACCCTATTTTTCTTCATTTTTGAAACTATTAATGAAGCTATCAGAAATATAATTCTTTGTTTTGCTTTCTGACTTTTACAAAGAAAAAGAAAGGAAAACATTTCATTCTATAAATCAGAAGAAAAAACGAAAGAGTTATATATCTATTGGCCTTAGTAATGGTTTTCAAACGGAGAAAAATAATATTTTATAGTCAACTCGATGTATTTTACAATCTGAATTGATCAAACAATTTTCTCTTTAGTAAAAATTGGTTTTCCGAAAACGGATCTCTGAAGTCAGAGTTGCCAATCTCGTATTGATATTCAGAAACAGCAGGGTCGATTATTCATAGTCCACTAGATTTGATGAAAAAAAAATGATTAGACACTTAAGAATCTTTCCTTGTACGACAAGTTTAAAAATATTCGGACTTGAAATGCACGAATTTCAATAACTAGTCAAAAATCTTTTACTTAACTTATTTTTGAGATCAAAACTCTTTATTATTAAGGCATAGGTCTGAATTTCTTAAAGATATTGTTAGTCTCTCCGAGGCGTATTCATAGTCATAATATGAAGTCGAACGATATTCAACAGTTGGATATATTCCCATGCTAGTAGACAAAGTTTCGTTCTACATATATCTAAAAACTACTAGTACGATACATCAAACTTTATTTGTACTACTTCGAAAACTCTCATTTATAAACAAGTTTGTCCTGAACATATTGGAAAAAAACACTAAATTCTAAATAAAATGATCACAGTTGTGCGTTATCATAGATACGTAATTTTCACTTCGTAGAACTTTATAAGGATTATTTCCTACTTCTGGAGACAAAATTGACAAGAAAAAAACCTTACATTGGTGTTGCTTAATTATGATCAAATATACTAAACTCTAGTGATCATAATGAAATGATGTTTCCAAGAGCACCGAAAGAATTAACTGTGTAAATCATTTTTCTGATGTCATTCGAAGAGTCTTACCATTAAGAAGGATCTTTCAGAACTGAAAACTTACTTTCATGAAGAACAAATATGATATTCGGAAACTGAGTTCATCAACATTCAGCTCATTCAAAAAACATTTCCCATTACAATTTTGTTTTTGGAGCGAAACCACAAGAAAAAATGGACCTGAAAGGAAGTACGAACGAAATTTTGATGGAAAATATTTTCTAATGAAATACATGTTACTCAACTCAGTTTTATCTGCTGACTCCGAATATCATATTTGTTTTTTGTTGAAAGTAAGTTTTCAGTTCTGAAAGATCCTTCTTTATACTAAAACTCTTTGAATGACATAGAAGAGAGATGACATAATCCTTAAACAAAACACAATTAATACCATTTGGCATCTCTGGAGAATGGCGATCACTAGAGCTTAGCACATATTTTACAATCATATTATAATTGAATAACATCAACATAACGTTTTTTTTGTAGCCCTGTTTCTGCGATTTTTTTACATATACATATTTGTTTGAATAGATCCTCTTTATCTAAGTTCTGTTAGCTAAATATTAATATTCTTGTGTTTTGTTTTAGGAAGATACAGATGCTGATAGACAAAATGCTATGTTAACAAATTCATCAGATTCAGCTATAGCAGCTGACAATGATACATCAAATGTTGATGTTATAATGGCAAAAAATGATCAACAATTAACATCTCCAATTGGTGTACCGCAAGCTGAAAGTACACATCAATATAGTGATTCAACAAATGTTACCATAAGTAATTCTTCACCATCAATGACAATAAATCAATCAATTGATTTTTTTGAAAATGATCCATCAACATCAAATACAACAATAAAAGATGATACTGAAAATGAAAATATATTAAATTAATCTGTGATATTTGTTTTGTTCGTTTTTTTTTCTATCTTCTTTATTATAATAAAAAACTGTAATTATACTAAGTAGTTATTCATCTAGCAAACATATTACTGTTTCTTTTTTTCTTTCTCTTTTTCGTTGTCTTAAACTGTTCAAGTTCTCGTGCAGATGTCTTTCTGTTTGGTTGTGAGATTTGTTTGTTTGTTTCTTTTGTTCCTTCGGTTGTTTTTTTTTTTCGTTTTAAACAGCTAAACATTTTTTAAAAATTTAGCTTGTTTAAAACTGTTGTGTAGGTATGTTTTGTTCTGTTGTCTTTATTTTAGAAATAAAGTGAAGAAAAGAAAAATATTATTCTATTCAAAGATTATCTAAATTAAATAATAATAATTTCAACACCTTTTTAAACTTCCTAACAAAAGATGTAACAATATTAATACCGTAATGGAATACGTACTATTGATGTTTTGCTTTTGTATTAGCAATACCAATACTAAATGGTATTAGTATTGTTACATTTCTATTGCTGACATTGACATAATAATATTAGAAGATTTTAACAAAAGTTGACAGTATAAATTTATTTATGATGATTCTACTGACAAATTTTATTTCCTTTTCTTTTTTATATGTCGACATATATTATACTGATCAAAATGATTACATCTATTGGTAATATACGTAAATTTCTTCATTTATAAATTTGTATTCTGTCTTATATCACTATAAAAATATTTCAATGATTTTATTTTTTTGTCAAATGTAATTTTTGAATTAATTTGTTTTCGAATAGTTAGAGCTAGAAAAATAACCTTACTAAAAATACAAACATTTTTATTTTGATTAGATTTCATCATAAGTAGAGACAATGAACAAAATTTAGTTTAGGACGAAATCATTTTGAATTATTGGTAAATTTCTATGATAATTAAAATATTCGTACAATAGTAATATGTACTTCATTACAATCAATGATATACTGTTGATAGAGTATTTCAATAGCTATTAAAATATAGAATAGTAATTAGCATTAAAGTTTTGTTCCCTCGCAAGTATACCCCCCCCCCCCCAAAAAAAAAATTGAATGCCACCCTATAATAGAAAGGCATCCGGAATAGAAGGCCACCCCGAACCGTTTGATTCTCTGAACATAATATAACGCCACCAAAAAAAGACCGATTCGCTGGGATATAATAGAAGGCCATGCCTTTTTATTCTGGGTGGGGGGGGCTACCAATAGCTCTATGATTACATCAAATTTCAAGTCAAAAATAATAGTTTAGGAAGAATTTTTTTTGATGAGAGTATAATGTTGCAGCAATAGATTTCATATTTAATAAAATTTGTTGTTTTTCTTTACTTATGATGGAACTAATTCGAAATAAAAATATTTATCTATTAGGTTTTTCTAAGTTCTATTACAAAAATAATAGAGCAAAAGAAAATTCTAAAGAAATAAGTTTTTTATCAATAAGTCAAGCATACAGTCAATAGGTCTGCATTTAAATGAAACACGAAATAAAAGAAGTATTGAACTATTATAATGCAAGCTGTTTAAATATTTCTTCCGCCGGAGATAACTTATAAAGGAACATACTCAAATATACAAGTCATTTTTATGCCATATTTTGACTATAAGTTGATCTCAATAAGCTATATAAAAGCTGAAAAGGATTCATTCACTTAAATATTCATTATCGAAATATTGAATTTTACTTCTTGAACTCAATATTTCTCGTTAAATCATGTTTTCCAATTTGAGCCTCGAATTTTTGCACATATTAAAGCTTCTATTAAGAAAGACTATATATAAGATCATATCTATCCTTTGAAATATATATAATCGGCTATTTTTCTTAAATAAATTTATGATCTCTTCACATGTTTTCGGAGATAGAATTAAAAAATTTCAATCGTGAGATAAAGAAAACATCAAACAAAAAGAAATTCGATATTGTCTGAAGAAATGAATTTTTTTTCCATATTTAATCGAGATCTACTTACAATGCTAAAACTATTTAAACATTTGCCTATGTTCTCTTATTAGCAAAGACTTATTACATATCGTAGCAAAACAAAGATTTGAAAGTAAAATTAATTGTGTATTTTTTTAAAATAAATTATTCAAAGAAAAATTGATAAATTTAAAGGCTCTAAGATAATATTTGACTTAATTTTATATGATAAATAAAATAAAATATCAATTATATATCATTATTGACTTAAAATTGATATGTTAAATAGGTCTTTTTTTTTTTTCTTGTATTAGTAATAACAGTTATTTAGCATATCAAATTTCAATCTTACTAGTGAAATTAGTTATAAACAGCTTGTCTATATTACTTATATGCAAATATGAATTAAAGATGATATTGACAAATATAAATATATGAATAAAGAAAAAGACAAAAAAAAAATCAAAAACAAATTTTCAATTATATGGTTTTATTTTCAGCAAATTCTCATTTTACACTTCTTACTAAAAGAGTTTTATCGAAACAAAGGACACATATCAAATTATTATAATCAGCGATGAATAGACAAAAGAGAAACGCTGTCTGGCACACGTTGGATGCATGATTGCCATGGCAGATTATGATTGGTTAGATTTAAAAAATTTTCTTTCTAACGTCATCTATCATTACATCTTTTAAATCTCGTTCGTGTCTGTCTTATTCAGTTGCTAAGCAATGACGCTGCCTCATACAATATATATTGTTCTCCGTCCGATGTTCGTTCTCTTTGTTCGAGTGACTAATCATGATATTCGCCTTTTCTGTATATGTCTAGCACTTTTGACTCGCTGTTACTGCCGATATAAGCGCGTCCGAGAGAGAGAGAGAGAGAGAAAGCAAAAGAGAAACAAATAAATAGTTTTAGTCTATCTTTATGCTCACATACACGCATCCTTATCCTAAGCCTGACGTATTCTGGGAACGGGTAAATCGATGTCGATCTTGCTCACTTATACCACCGGGTCTTTCTTCTCATAAGAAACAAAAAACGATATATATATATATATACATATATATATTTTATTTTAGATCTATCCTTTCTAACAATTAGCTTTTCATCAAGCCAAATTTAATTAATAAAAAAAACAAAAATGTCGACCAAGGATGAAGAAGTACAACGCGCTAAATTAGCCGAACAAGCTGAACGGTATGAAATATATATAAAAAAGCAAAGAAAATAAAAAAAAAAAACTTATCTCTTTATTATTTTAGTTATGATGATATGGCAAGTGCAATGAAAAAGGTTACTGAATCAAATAATGAATTAACAAATGAAGAACGTAATTTACTTTCGGTTGCCTATAAAAATGTGGTTGGCGCACGTCGTTCATCATGGCGTGTAATATCAAGTATTGAACAAAAAACGGAAGGTTCAGAACGTAAACAACATATGGCAAAAGAATATCGTGAAAAAATTGAAAAGGAATTAAAAGATATTTGTCAAGAAGTTTTGGTAAATAATTAAATTTCTTCCTAAAGAAAAAAAAAACATTAGAAAATTTATTTATTTTTCTTTATTAGACATTACTTGATAAATTTCTTATTCCAAAAGCAACAACAGCTGAATCAAAAGTTTTTTATTTAAAAATGAAAGGAGATTATTATCGTTATTTAGCTGAAGTTGCTACTGGCGATGAACGAACAAGTAAATTATTTAAGAAAAGAAAATAAAAAAATACGAAGTTTTTTTTAGAAGTGATCGATGAATCACAACGTGCATATAATGATGCATTTGATATTGCTAAGGGTCAAATGCAACCAACACATCCAATTCGTCTTGGTCTTGCTTTGAACTTTTCCGTCTTTTATTATGAAATTCTTAATGCACCTGATCGTGCTTGTCATTTGGCTAAACAAGTAAACAAAAAACCAAAAAAAAAAAAAACGAATTTTTATTTTTCTATTTTTTAGGCTTTTGATGATGCTATTGCTGAACTTGATACACTCAATGAAGATTCATATAAGGATAGTACACTTATCATGCAATTACTTCGAGACAATCTCACATTATGGACCAGCGATGCTCCTGATGCCGATGAAACAAATCCACCTGAAGAACATCAATAATTGTTTCGTATAGTTCTCTTCCCTTTTCTTTTTGTCTGTGTACAACACACACACACACACAGATATACACGCATACAACCGGTCACCAACCAAATTGACAAAACAATAGAAAAAAAAAAAAAACAACCTATAAACTTTTTTTTCTTCCTTTCTTTTTCTCTTGACTCTTCTCTCTAACAACTGCGCTTCTTTATATTTTTATTTGTTCGTCGATGTCAACTTTCTTTCTTTCTTCTTTTTTTGGCTATTTCTATCTATCTATCTCTCTATCATCATCTCTCCTCTCTGTGTGTGTGTTGGTTGTAATCGCTTTTTTTTTGTCTTATTAGCTGTTTGTTCATTATTCTTCTTCAACTGTTTGTCTCATTCTTTTTTTCTCTGTCTATCATCCATGTGTTGTCGGCATTGTATGTCTTGTGTAGAAAAACGAAGAAAAAACTTGCATACATTTTTAAAAAAAAAAAAAAGTTGGAAAAGCAAACCATATGCACACACAATAAACTTCTTTTTTTTTTTTTTTTTTTTTTTCTTAACAACAAAATATTGTCTTATGATATATATATTAAGATTGATTAACATAAAAAGTCATGAGAAGAAGACGGAATAAAAAAAAGAAGAAAATTGACATTCGCTGCTTTCTATGTTATTCATAAAAATAGGACAATAATATTTATGACTTTCTTTTATCTGAAGGACGTTAGATATGAAAATATTTGTCTTTTAATAATTTATCTTTTAAATGTAAATAATATTTAATTCAAATGTTTTTATTGATAAGAAAGTAGACAATGAAAATATTCATCATTTAGTTTATTATTTTGTCTTATATTTTTTTTTTAAATATGACAAGTTTTATTCGGAAAACAAAAACAACAAATCACAAAAAGAATCAAGCTAAAGACGTTGTTTGTTGATTAATTGCAATTGGTTTTC